TATGGATGAATGAATTTCACATCGAAATCCAAGTGTCATAATTTTAATTTTCATTGGTTCGTCTATTCATTATAGTCAAAATCATAATATAATTGTAACAGATTTTATCTATTCATTATGTATATATACACCAGAAGGAGTTTTGTGGGTATTATAGTAATCTTAATAGTTGAGATCATGAGTCAACTAATTCTAGACTACCATGGAAAACCTGGAAACACTGGATGACCGTTTCGTCCTATTGTGGGACTCCTCAGCAATGCAAAATATTTTCTGCAGTTCTAGTGAGAAGCAATGACCAGTGGAGTCCAACGGGGTCTGTTGTGAAATAGTAACTCACTAAAGACAATGGTGTATATGTCACTCAATTTTGTGGATTAGTTGAATTTAGACATTAACACCGTTGGATGCTGGCTCAGTGGTCTAGTATGTTAGGCGTTCACGAGACGGGATCGTGGATGCGCACTGCTGAAGAGTCCCACAATATAAAGGGATAGCCATCTGGTGCTTCCAGGTTTTCTATGGTGGTCTAGCTTCAATTGACTCATGAATTCAACTATTAATAAATATATGTAAACTTAACTTTCCAAGAAAATCCAAATCCCTATTTAGCTTTTGATTTGATATATTATTTATCAAAATTTATCATTCAAAAAGTAGGTTACAGGGAAGCTGAGAAATATATAACTTTGATTTTTAGTTGATTGTACATTAAACTATATTTCAATGAAGAAATATGCTATTCATTTGTTAAATGAATGGTATGGATTGATTAGGAAACTTCACAGGTTACATTAATACATTCTCAACTATAAAAAATTAAACATGGTTAGAGTTGATAATTAGTTACTAACTGTATAAATTACATTAAGATGAATAAGAACTGGAAATAAATATGTGGATAGCTTCATTAGAAAATGGTATTTTTTTAAACATTGATCAATTTCATGGTAAATTAAAACATTAAAATTAGACAAAATTGTATTGTAGTGAACAAGAATACCGATGGGGACAATCGTATTATATTTTGCGCAAAATTACAGTTATTTGGTAAAATAGAAAAACTATACTATAATACTAAATTTGAAAAATGTTCAATAATTGTCTCGAACTTCATTGTTCTTGCACTTCCACACTAATTGCTTTCTATTCACGCTTTTTCTTCTTGATCTTTCCCATCTTCTACTGCCAGACATTACATTCTTGACTCGCGTTATATACTACTTATATCATTACAAGTAGCACGCACCACGGTATTTGTATGATGTAACTAAAATTAATAATATTTAATTTTTGTGCAGAAACTTTGTGGATATGCGTCTGCTGCTTTTTTCTTTTTCTTTTTTTTAGATATATGCACTTCCTATAAAACACTGAGTGCTTATTTTTGTAAACAAATTAATTTTATTGAATCAATCAAAATACAGATCCTCTATAATGATTTGGTGTTTTCAATTTTCTTTGATTTTCCCACAGATTAATTTTCTGATTATGATTGATCAGTGTGAATTGTCAATTGTTAGCAGATTTTCAACAAATTACATTACAACTAACAATGGATAGTGAATAAACACTAAAATCTGTCATAGATGTGTATTGATTAACATTATCACTTTTTACAATAGTACAGTGAGAGAAAACGAACGATGAAAATTAAAACAAATAATAATCATTTACTAAACAGTATTAGAAAATTAGATTTTTGAAGTTAAGCTAACAACTGTTCTAAAGAAAAGAAAATACGAACAAACAGGGGCAGATAAGAAGTATGAATATCAGTGTTGATTCTGAAAGATTCAAGCTATGGTCGTTTTTTTATATATTTTAACACAAAGATATTGATACAAGGAGGAACTAAATACATATACGCCACACAAATCTCCTTTCATATGTGTGAGGGTTGTGATACTACCAGGGTGCCCGAACCGAAGCAAGTGGTTTTCATAGGGAGTCATACACGGAGCCTTCGACTTGAAGGTCTGATCCACAAGGCAGTGGAGCATCGTGAGGAGATAAAGTCCCATGGTTGCCGGTGACCAATAATTGGTTCATTCGCCATTTGTTCCTTCAGGATTCTGGAGCCCATGTGCACAATTGGTTTGGAATCAGCGTTTTCCAACTCCCCTAGGTGGACTCTCCATGTCCACCAACCCGGTTGAAGCGTCGAACATTCGTTTTCCGTCCTCTCAATTTCGTAACAACACCCACGCCACGAGAATGAAGTGAGTAGGACTTCCCTGGTAGAGGCTATATACGCGTGGCCATGTGAGCATTTGGAGAGGGAGAGCGGACTCTCCCCACTCTCGGCCGTACCAGGGCATTTTGGGGTCGTCTTACATTGTTTGAAATAATTTCATGGACTGCAAATAAGTGACTGGAACCCTTGAAATGGATGAATTAAACAGTGATTTCATGAACAGACGCTTGAATTTTGTCGCAAGTCCTTTGCTCTTTTGAAAATTACCACTATATATATATATATATATCATAACTGACCAAAATATCAACTATTTCATTCCCTTTTGTTAAGCTAGATGTCAATATATCGTGGTTCAGAAAAGCTAGTTGGTTGTGCAACATGAGCAGTGGAATGATCCTGTAACAGTTTGAAAAATCACATTATTCTTGCTCTGTAGAACAACTGTCTGTTTTTTTCTAAAATCCCGCATAATATTTCGGCTTATTTGCTGAGGTGGTCTTGAAGCACTAAAAATCCAGTCTAAGATGACTTACCTCAAGCCTTTTACAAAGATGATGGTTGCTTCCTGGTGAACGAATTGGCTGAGTTGTTTACAAAGGCTTGGCGATCGGAGTGTCCTAACATCATGGAATGAGTCGATAGTTATCCCTGTCTTAAAAAATGGTTCACCTCATTTCCGCAACAACTATCGGGGGACAAGTCTACTTCCGATTGCGTTCAAAATTTTGGCTTCCACCATAATTCAACTTTCTCTATTGCTCCATTCAAGCACTGAGGTTAGACATGGTTGCCCAATCTCACCATTCCTCTTTAAATTTTCCACCGACGAGGTCCTGGAAAAGGATCTGATGGATGTGGGTGACGGTGCTGTAGATCTGTTGCCTGAAGAAAGACTTTTTCGACCTCGAGTATACAGATGATATTGTCTTGCTGTGTGATGATATTCAAGTCATGAAATCTACACTTAATCAGTGTCCGTATGGTATGTGCTTTGTACGAGCCATAGGACATAACAAGTATTCGTGTGGCATGCGCTTGGCATCTTCTAAGTGCAAAGTACTTTTACAAGACTGACAGGATGTTGACCCTGCGCTCGCATTGTGTAGTGAGAGGATAGTAGTCGAGAAGTTCGTGTATCTGCGTAAGTGACGAGATCAATCCCAGTATAGTGAAAGTCAGAGTGGCTTATGCCAGTCTGGGCCATCTTTGGCGCCTTCGTGATGTTGGCCTGGCTACAAAAGGTCGGATGTACAACGCATCGGTCAGAGCAGTTTTGCTATAGCCTTCTAAAAGCATGGTGCTCAAAATGATGTATGTTGCTGAATGCATCGTTTTTCTGTGGTATTATTTACCGCAAACATGTGTAGTATATTTTTATTCTTATGATAATTTCAGAGATTTTCTTCAGTACCTTTATTTCTTTTCTTGTGGTTTAATCGATTCTTCCCCAATTTACTCCATCATTGCCTTTAATGAAACTAATAGTGGGCTTTAGAACTCCTAACGATAATTAAACGGATACCTTATTGATACAATTTCAGACTGGTTTAGTAGTTATCTCAAGTGTACTTTATATGGTTATAGGGAAATGGGCTTCTGAGAATTATTTGCTTGGTCTTTCATAACTAAATATAATAAATCAGTATCTCATTAATATTAATAATAATGATAATAATAAATAATATCAAGTTATACAAAGCTCAGTAAACTTCAGAGTATAAATAAACAATAGCAATTCTAAAGGATCAGTTTCAAGTACAATTAAATATATTTAAGAAAATTTTATAAATTAGATTAAATGCTTAGAAAATAGCCCAACTGTGATATAAAAAATTCGTACTAGTTTATATTTCCCTTGTTGTTATGGAAAACAATAATTAATAAGGCTCTATCAGTATATATCTAATCTTTTCCAATTAAACTATAAGTCAGTTTACTAGTGATTTACTTCGAGATGTTTTCGAAGCTGTAGTGACTAGCGGATCTCGGAAAAGTTGAAATTGAAACAGATTTTACTAATGAACGATCGTCGAGCTACTCCGCAAGTTGGAATCGTGCCATTGGACATCGGATCCAGTGGTTAAGTGCTAGCCGCCAGATCTAATGGTTTTAGGTTTGATCCTTGGTGTAGCTGTAGGTGTGCACTGATGAGTGGTCTCATACCAAAATGAACCGGCGTTTAGTGCTTCATTGTTTTGGATGGTATGAGATCAATCTGCTATAAATATCACTAATAAATAAAACCACAACACTCATTTTTTGTAATTAACAAACTATCAGTTACAACAACAATCTTATTGTAGTTAACTTTCAGGTAAATGTACGTTGGTGAACCCGTCTCATCACTCCTTAAGTTATTACACAATTAAAACTAACCTAGTGGAGTAAATGGAACCTGAAAAAGGTTGAACGAAGAAAATTCATCATCAGACAATATTCTTGCTCAGTACGAGAAAGTTTTCTAAGCACAAATATAGTAACACTTTTATCTTGCATGTACATCATTATTCAAAATATCCTATGTGAATTTAATCTCAAGAATCCCGAAACTTCTTATTTAACACTTTTGTACATCGTCAACTACCAATAGTTAATCTATGTGATCATCTACTCGACAATAGAATAGTGTACTATCAATAACGTTGAGTTACGTAAGACACAAGTGGACAATCAATTCACCCATTTCTTATTCAAAAATGATGAAATATCTTTTTATACAAAGATTTTATTCACAATGTTAGTAATATTACAAAATGAGAGAAGTTTATTTGAGAAAATCTGATATATAGGATGAATTTGTTCAACATGTCACTTGACCTTCAAACAACGAATTTAACGTAGTACATTGGACAGGTTTTAAATTTTTCTCAGCTTGCTGTTGAACAGTTCTGAAAAACAGAAATTAATGGGGTCAAAGCAAAAACTGTCATAAATTTATAATAGAAACAAAATTAAGAAAATATCCAATGAAGCTTTCGAGAATAATTTGAATCAGTCAAATAAAAATGGTTGGCACAGGGAATATGAATGCAATGGGAATTTAATCATAAACTTACAATAAAACTAGAAACCTCAAGTTTTGTTTAATAGCTGAAAAAATAACTATTGTATGCCAAACTAGGATACTTCGACAATGTTTGTGAAATTTCTGAATAGATGAGTTACGATACAGGAGGGGGCTATTTTCTAAATTCAAATTGACTACAATCAATGGTTGAACATCGAAAACCAACTGACAGAATATAAAATTGTTGGTTCATAGGTTAATGGTTTAATTAAACCCCATGACATAGTGTATGTACTAGAACGGTTAATGAAAAGATAACCAGACTAGATTATAGGGTAAATAAATACATTACATTCAAGATGTAATTATATTTTACCTGGCTTCTTTAATTTTCCCATTCATTATTAATAATTTGATACATTCTTCATATAGAAGTTTACGTTTAGGATGAACAGTTAATTGTTCTTGTAGTAAGCGTATTCCACGATCAACGTCACCATATTCAAACTCAATTCTCGCAACACTGCACAGAAAAAAACAAATATGGAGGATAATATAAACGTATAACAAAGCACAAAAATAATATTAAGCAGAACCAATGGAGAATAAAGTAAACAAATTTAGTTTTACAAAATCCAACCTTTTTTGATTAAACTTATAATTTCATTTAGTTACCATCAACATGGAGCCTAGAAAACATGTGAGACGGCTCAATTTACCATACCACATGGATACGACGAGATGAATTCAAAGTATAAATGTAAATTGAAAAAGGGATAACAAATAATGAAGTAGCAACGATAGAAAGAACAACTAAACATTGAGAATACTGTTCAAAGATAGAGTGGAAAGGAATGTAAGTTATGTTGAAACTTGAAACTGTGAGCGAGATAAAAATTGAACGTATCTACGCAGGTGAGAACGATTCTGAACTACGTTATGTTATTTGGAGTTGACGTACGAATAACAACCACGTAGTTTACATCCACCTCACACTTGTAAGTTAGTGAGAATATGCTAAAAGGATGGAGAAAACTACAAACATACTATGAAGTACTGAAAAAATATGGTTGGATGGCGACCTTGCTGGGCTGTATATTACGTAAATCACACTGAACTGTTTTAAAAATCTAAAAACCATTTCGATTGATTGAGAGCATATTCAAATAAGAAAATCAAAGATTCTTCGAATCACTTGTACAGACCAATATTTACATGTTATAGACATATTTTTACAAATAACAAGTGCCAATAGTCGAACGAATGATGAGTTTTGACTCCGATTTATTCCATTCCTTTTTGAAGTATGTTAACAAAATTAGAACATTATCTGGAGTACAAAACTTCATCTATATTACAGGTCATACTATAAAAACAACTAGTAAAATAGTGGTTGAAGGTAGTCGACAAACCATATACCTAGGTTTCGTGGTATTTATCACTCGTCAGCAAGGTTTGCTTGTTCTCTTAATGGGATTGATAACACCTGAGGGATTCGATACCGTGTCACACAGATGTTGAGCCACTTTGACTAGTTGCGATATTGCAGTTTGATTGATAGAATTCAATCAACACTAAAGGACTTGGCATACACGACATTAGTCACCGCCTAGTGATCAGTCAATTGTAAATATAAACAATTAGCGCATTATACAACAGACTTCAATGAGACCTCTATCTGCTTTTCCTTCAATAGAGAACTTATTGAATGAATTGGAGAGAAAGTACTTCCTAGCCATTCCCAATACCTCAAGAGAGGCAAGGATGAAATTGACATATATCAAATTTGTTCTCATGCCGAGTTTTACACCGCGATTTTCCAAGGTGAGTAATACATATTATTTTAGTACTTCGAGTAAATAAGTAGTAACAAAAAATGCATAAACATAATGGAAAATAAATTAAAAAGAATAATAAAGTTGTAACACCTCACCCAATAGCAAGTTGTGGAAGAAGAGACGATTTTAACAGCGAGGCCGAATTTCGTTGAGCTTCTCGAGCAGCTTCAACATTACCAGCTCGAAATCGAACTCTTATAAGTGAAAGCCAATGGTCAACATCGTTTGGACAAGATTTGATTTGGCGGCGAGCTAATTCCTCAGCGCGCTATAAAATGAGTAGAAACACAACAATAAATTGCAAGTTGTGAGGATCCAGTTAGAGTTCAAATAAATATTAATTATGTTTGAAAAAAATTACTAGTAAGATACAGTGGAAATATCGTAGGTTAAGAACTGTTAGTTGAATTAAAAGGTTGTTCATTACGAGTCAATAGTTATTAAAACACTGGAAATCGAAAAGTATGGGATTGTTTTTACTTGAAATTAAACCAAGTTATGTTTAAACATTAGTACACTGATTGATAGATAGATAACAGAAAGAATATAAAACAGCTGCATGTAGCTTCAAGTACAGAACACATGGAATAAATTAACACAGGAAAAGACAGCACAAAAACTAATAATACCGACAACAGTATACGAAATAAAGAGCATTAGAAAAGTGAAGCGATAAGATTGTAGGATAATAAATTGATCACGATGTAGTAGTATCCATTTTTCATGAACTTTGGTTTAGAAGCTAACAACATACTCTAGTATAGCACACTAAGATGAATGACAACTGGGGATGTGTTACGCGTTTCTCAGCTTTTTGAAAAATAAAAGCTATTAGAAAGTGGTTTGATTACTTAGTCGGACCATTTATGCCAAACAACTATATCAACTTCATTGGTGGTACTACAACACGTGAATGGTACTAAAAAGAAATAAGATAAAATATCTGCAGCCTAAATTAATAAAGCTGTCAATAACTTAGATTATTTGATTCCATTGCATCAAAGTACACACAATGATACAGATTTGTTCTTAAACAACATCATACACTGACGTGTTGCCAAACAAGTATTAGGTTTTAGAAATTGACTTTGTTCCATTTACTAACTATTGGGATCTTAGTCACTATATCTTAGATTTTACGATCATGATGCACAACTCAGTTAAACCTAGAAACCTTAAACAACAAATGAGGACGTTGTTTACAAGTGATTCATGAAAACAGCTAAGTAAATATTATCTGTTATTTGGTGAGGTTTTCAAATTTATGAACTGCTTCAACAACTGTTAATCTTACATTCAGTATCCAGAACATATCTTAGCTAAACAGCCAATGAAAAACGGGAAGCATTATACAGCCATTTTATTTAAGGACAGGATACAGTAGGGCGTGTTCACGACTCCATCACTGAGTACCGAGCCCAGGACAGTCGATTTTACACGCGAACTCTTAACCTCCAGACCACTACGCCGGCATCCAAAAGTCTGTATGTTTAGCTTTAATTAATTTAGAATATCATCCTCCAATCTACTCGGTAGGTAACTGCTTCGCATTCAACAGTGATGAACTCTACTTGTCATAGCTTCTCCCTAGAACATTGGAATCATCTCTCGATACATATATAAACAAGAATTAATCGTCGAGTTAACTGTTGATGTATTTGAAGTAACAACGAATATCGATGCAGATAAATATTTATTGGTTTGTAGTTATTCATATTAATAATTATAATCACAATAAGAATAAGAATATTATAATAATAATAGTCGAGGTTCTTGTTGACGGAGGTTCAGAACAAAAAATAACTAGTAATTAAGAAGACAATGATAATAATAATCATGTAATTAAAATATCTCGAATATTCTTTGATAAATTTATATTAAATTAGAAGGAAAAATATTAATGATAGTATTCGCACTTTATTACTATTATTGCTACATAGAATACATATTTCAATACACAAATTGCACTGAAAAATCACTCCCACTACGATCAGATACACAAATAAAATTCGTGTGTTAGACAAGATAAAGAATGAATAAAAAGAAGTAACCTTATACAACTGTCTAAATTCGATATAAGCAGAGATAATAAATGCCAGTGTTATTAATAAACGATATATTGAAAAGTGGTAAATATGTAGAGAATTCTGACCATTTTTAGAAAGGAGTGATAAATTAGGAATGATACTCCTGCAAAATATTTATAATTGTTTGTACTACACAAGTTGTATAGTATTTGAATTTCCACAAATTTAAGTTGCCGAAGAAAAAACCTAGTTTAGATCAAAGTGTTAGCAACTAATAGTCTAGCTTACTAATTTATACCAAAAGTTGAGCTCGAGAACAGGGGGTACATGGATTTACGGTACAGTCCTACAGACTTTACTAAGTCAATTCAACCAACTCGACAAATCATTGTGAAAACCCGGCTGAATAACAAGTGTAACAGTGTGTTAATATTGGTTAGCAGAGAAGTGAAAAAACACTGAAAATCACAATTATAATTTGTCTGTGTTATTATTAACCATCAAAGAACACCTGGATACAAATAAACATGATCAATTGAGGTGAAACAAATATTAACGAAGTTTATCTACATATTTCTCTTTTCTAAACAATGTCTATTGTGAAACCACAATGTCTTTATGTTTTAAAACAAAGACTGTGTAGTTGTTTTTCTCTTTTTTTTAAAAAACAAAACATGAAAGTATTAAACCAATGGAAAAAGAAAACATGATATTGTACGACTGTCAATCATTCAACATGTCAATGGTCTTTGTATGCATCTATGTGTATATATTTATAAAAAAATTACTCTTATGAATACAGAGGTAAATAAATTCATTACATTGTTTAAATACTAGTTTAAAGTAGAAACAATAATTGTATGATTGTTACATGTATCAAGAATATGTCGATAATAATGTACTGACAAGTTATTTCTTTTTGTAATTCTTTGAATGCAAAAAAGGAAAAAGCAGTGTAACATAAATAATCTCACTGACAGAACAAGTATGGGTTAATATGTACTTGGTTTTAATAACTAAGTTTCTTTTTTTTTAAATATGAATGCAATAAGCGTTTATCATTTCGAGTGAAACAAAATGTATGAGTGTTACGATAAACACATAGAGACGAGAATTTTTTTTCCTTCGAAGTACAATTTATTTTATCATATTTATTCTACTCGAATATGATGTGTAACACAAAAAAATTTAAACTATAAATGAAAGTGATGTCATTTTCTTACAATTCAATAGAATGAAATAGTCTTTATAAAAAATTACTTATTTCAAAATAGTAAAGACTACTTAAAGAAGATTTTCGGCATCGAATAAAAGTTAAGGTGAAAAAAGATAACTGATGTAAATTTTAGTGTTGGTTAAAATGATTAATGATATGTGGTCGTATAATGTCTTCAAAATTTTAAGGACCTTTAGAATGGTATACAGTGTTGAACAAATAGTTCTAAGGTGTAAGTCCTCTCACTGTATCTATGGGAGCCACAATATCGAGGAAAATTTTATTCTTAATTTGCAGGCATCTGGTAAATTACAATGAATAGTTAACCATTTTACAAATATGTTAACTATGTGAATTTTAATTGTAAATCGTTAAGAAAAACTCAGTATTTTAGTGAAACCGCCTAAACATCTTTTTTCATATAATTGAAGTCGCAGACAGAAAATTGCTTATTCACATTTTTTAGCTTGTGTATTCAGAATTAAAGAGATTTCGACATCGATTCAACAGTTTAGATAACAATGTCATATATACATGCCTAATTGTAAACAGCTAGTTTGTTGCTTTTTAAATAAATATTTGCTGGTGCTCTAGGATCAATGGCGAATTGGAAAGACATATCTCAATTCCTGGAAGCTAAATATATGGATATTAACGAGGTTGAGTACGAACATGACATTCCCATACACTAGTTGTGTGTCATAAAGGATGCTTTGAAGTAGCTCCAAAATATTAAAACCATTATTAGATAGTGTTTGACTTTTCGTGTTGTTTATATTACAGTATAATAGTAACTATGTCGAGGAAGTCTGCAAAAGATGGACGATGATTAACAAGACCTCACTCCGTAACATGAACAGTAGGCAAATCAAAATCTTTCTATCAATGATAGAATCATTCATTTATCTTATTTATTCATTTTAACACATAGATATTGCTACGACGAGGCACCAAATGCATATGCGACACACAAATCTCCTTTCATATGTGTGAGGGTTGTGATACTACCAGGGTGCCCGAACCGAAGCAAGTGGTTTTCATAGGGAGTCACACGGAGCCTTCGACTTGAAGGTCTGATCCACAAGGCAGTGGAGCATCGTGAGGAGATAAAGTCCCATGGTTGCCGGTGACCAATAATTGGTTCATTCGCCATTTGTTCCTTCAGGATTCTGGAGCCCATGTGCACCATTGGTTTGGAATCAGCGTTTTCCAACTCCCTAGGTGGACTCTCCATGTCCACCAACCCGGTTGAAGCGTCGGACATTCGTTTTCCGTCCTCTCAATTTCGTAACAACACCCACGCCACGAGAATGAAGTGAGTAGGACTTCCCTGGTAGAGGCTATATACGCGTGGCCATGTGAGCATTTGGAGAGGGAGAACGGACTCTCCCTACTCTCAGTCGTACCACGGCATTTGGGGAATCATTCGCGTTGAACAAATAGGGGCTATCACAATTTGGTAGGTAAAAAGAATAAAAAGTTTGGCGTCTGGAGCTAAACGTACTGGGTTTCAGTCCAGGTGTGAACATCAACAGTGTTTTGTGGAAAACAGAGTGAAATATGGTGAAACGCACATGTAATCAGCATGTTATCGCACCAACAATACAGAGAGATTTTTCTAGTAAGATCCCATGATACCTTTTTAGGAATTTTTAGCAAAATCAGTGGTATCTATGAGATCCTTAATTAAAATAAATACGAAATTTCATATGTATTATGAAGATAGTACTAGTATAAAATTGAAAACTTACGGTATGATGACCAATATCTGAAAGAGTATCGATAGCTTTTCTAATAAACGGAGCTTGATTTAAATTTAACAATTGGGTTAGTAATTGAGAAACACGTTTTGATTGGTGATTGATTTCTATTACTATATCTGACATAGATGTTGACGATGACATATGATATTGTTGTTGTTTCTGAAGACAAGTGAGACGTTCCAATTCTTTCGCTTCCATAATTAAATACGATGTGAGTAAACGAGATTGTTTGGTTAGTTGATTATTACTGGTAGAATTTGATATAGCACGTAGCCCACGTTCAACTATTGCTCTAGCATCAATAACTCCTTTATTAAGATTACTATTAATAGACTGATGATCTACTTTGCTTGACAATATGTGTGTCATATAAGCAATCCAACAAAATTCATTTGATGGCATATTACGAACGGCTAATTCAAATTCTTCTGTAGTTTGTGGATGTAATTGTCCCTTAGGAAGACACTGCTGTTCAGTGGTCAATTCTGCTAGCATAGCTTTACGCATCTCCATATCTCGTAAACGCCATTCCTTGGCAGCTTGACTTTCTGCAAGGAGCAAAATAGGCAGGAGATATTATAAACAACGACGATATTTGTTATTTGACTACTTAGTAACCGAAGACAAGAGTATTGAAACACTAATGACAAGGAGTAGTGGGGATGCTGAACAAAAGTTAAAGGATATCGCCGTAATGAATGAAAGATATTACAAGACTCTTAAAAGTCTTCAAGCTTCGTAATGTTCATAGTTCTATTTAACTACAGCGGGATCACTGTCTACCATGAGAAGAATCGGCATAAAACTCAAAAAAATAAAAACCAGAAAATTTTTACCTACTGAGCTTATCAGTATTTAGTATAGTTACCTTGATGCACTCGCTATATTCTTCTATGTATACTATATTAAATGAATCACATTACCAGTTGTGAATTTATTGCTCAAAATAGTTGAAAAAAACTGGTCTCAGTGGAGAATCCTGGTACAAGAAATCAAACTGATACATACATTAACCAACATGGCTGAATATTATCCATAAAACCAGATTCAAATCGCTTTTTTACAAAAACATGGATTCAGATCTTAGTTCTCTTAAAATGATATAGTCTCCCTTCAACATTTAATAATAAGTTTGAATCCTGAAGTATAAACATGTTAAAGTAACCCTAAAACAATGGACTTCAAATTCTACAAAATCAGAACAAAAACGTTTATTTACCATTTTTATCATTTCTCTCAATATTCAAATGATCATCATTGTTTGAATCTGTTGATTCCAGTGTTTCATGTGTTTGCATTTCATCATCAAATCCATTTTCATTCTTTGGATACATAAATTTTTCATAACGTTTAAGTAAATCTTTAGAGAAAATGTTGTCACTATTCAAAGATACAAATGATGACTGTACATTATTTACAGATTTATCTGATGATTTTTTACTTTTGACCTTAATTTTTACATCATTCATATATTTATTGTTAAGTAGATTAGTTTCATCTTCTAGACGAGGTTGTTTTTTCTTAGAATTCTTTGATATGAAAGTTGACTTAGTGTTTAATATCTCTTCATCATTTAATGACGACTGCATTGATTCATCTAAGTCAGTTAGCCTTCTTTTACGTGACTGACTGCCATCATGTTGTTGAGTATGTTCTTCTGTTGTTTTGGTTTTTCTTCTTGCTTTGTTTTAGTATACTCTCTTTACCAATCAGAAGTGCGTTGAAGTAGGTTCACAGTTCATTAACTCTAAACTGTTAGATGTTTCGTTCAAATCATCATGAAAAATTAATTCTCGCTTTTGTGATTCACTAGTATTTTTTTGAGTGGATAATTCACTGAGTAATTTTTTAACAAGCTCATTCATACAATCCTCCGTAAAATGTTCATAATTATTAGAATTATCACAAACTAATTCACCGACAAGATTATCATTGATGAGCCTAAAAAATAGTGGAAGGGGGGAGTGAATAAGTAGTTGAATACGAAATTTTTAACATGGAAAGAACTATACTATACTTTGACAATCAACTGTATGGGCAGAACACTTTAGGGATCAGTTCAACTGGCCTTCAGCCACACTTTGAGTTCCCACGATCTCCAGTCAACCTGAATGGCAAGTTAATGTAGGTCCTCCGTCCCTTTACGAAGTTGAAAAAGCCATAGGAAATCTGAAACGAGGGAGAGCAGCAGGCCCTGACAGGTTTACTCCTGAGATTTTTAAGGATGGTGGTCCAGTATTAGCAATGAGATTAACGAGGTCTTAGGTAGAATTTGGGAACTGGACGTAATCCCATCTGACTGGTCTCAATCACTGATTGTGCCAGTTTTTAAGAAAGGACAAAAGTCCTCTTGTGACAATCACAGAGGAATCAGTTTGACTAATATAGTGTCTAAAATATTAGCCTCAATAATACTTCGACGCCTAACTAAAGCTCGTGAAGAGCAGACTAGAGAAAACCAGGCTGGTTTTCGACCTGGACGTGGTTGTATAGATCAGATATTCACACTACGTCAGGTTCTAGAACACAGACACACATTCAGACGCCCCACAATGGTAGTATTTCTCGACCTTAAGGCGGCATTCGACTCGTTGATCGTGAGGTTCTATGGCAGTGTTTGTCACTGAAAGGAGTACCAAAGAAGTACATTAACCTTATAAAGGCTCTCTACTCGAACACAACTGGTAGAGTGAGAGCTTATGGCGAACTGTCATCAGAATTGATACCTCAAGTGGTGTTCGTCAGGGCTGTCCACTCTCCCCATTCTTGTTCAACTTTGTCATTGACGTACTTTTAGAGATAACACTCTCCTCATCTAAATTTACAGGGGTTGAACTTCTACCAGGAGGTTCACTTGTTGACTTAGAATATGCAGATGACATAGTTTTATTTGGTGAAGACGCTGACAAAATGCAGAGTCTTCTGACCACTCTAAGCAACAATGCAAGCATGTTCGGGATGCGATTCTCTCCCTCGAAATGCAAAATGTTGCTTCAGGATTGGGTTACATCGACACCCGAACTAGTGATAGGGAGTGAAGTAGTTGAGTGTGTCGACCGCTTCACTTATCTTGGAAGTCTCATCAGCCCTTGTGGTTTGGTGTGTGACGAAATCTCAGCACGGATACAGAAGGCTCGACTAGCTTTTGCCAACTTGCGTCATTTATGGCGTAGGCGAGATATCCGTCTATCAACCAAAGGACGTGTTTACTGCGCAGCAGTTCGTTCCGTCCTACTTTATGGCAGTGAAACATGGCCGGTAAGAGTAGAGGATATCCGTAGGTTACTAGTATTTGATCATAGGTGTCTTCGAAACATTGCTCGTATATCATGGGACCATCGAGTAAGTAACACAGTTGTTAGGAAACGGGTACTAGGTAAGGATGGCAAATCAATTGATGACGTAGTGAAACTTCATCAGTTGAGATGGCTGGGACACGTGTTACGTATGCCCAACGACCGACTGCCTCGACGTGCTATGTTCAGTGGTATAGGAGTAGGTTGGAAGAAAGCTAGGGGCGGCCAAACCAAAACATGGCACAAGTCCATGAAGTCACTGACAAGTGAACTGAGTCATGTTGGTAGGTGTAGACTACCTGGTTGGGGACCGCGAGATGACAGCAACCGATGGTTAGAGACCCTGAATGACATGGCTCAAAATCGTTTGCAATGGCGCAGGTGCATCCACTCTCTGTGTTCTCCCAAATTCTAATCTTCTGAATTCTTCATGTCCCTTTTTTCCTCTTTCCAAATTTCTTTCACTGGATTATACTCTTTAAATAACATCTCCAAACCCTAATCTTCCCGATTACTGCTTATACTCTTACTACCTCTACCACTACGGGATTTGAATCGACAACTGCATCTCTGTGCTAATGTGGTGTGGCAACTCGAACTGATGTACGTACGTACGAAGTTCTACGTTGTTACTGACTGACTGACTGTATTTAGACACGAATGAACCAAGCTAACTGGAAATCACATTAACAATTCAAATTTGAACTGATATTGAGAATGTGAATTTTTTAATAGTTTGTGAATTATGTCTTTCCAATGAACAATTGATATAATATCTAACGTTGTTAGATCATTACCATGCAGCAACAAAAGTTCTAAAATATAATAAACAATCATGTGAAAGGAATTAGACCAGACATAGTGAACGAGATCGAATGATATTATCCAGCTGTTTAAATGATAGTTAAACCACTGATTTATAACTGCTCGATCGCTGAACTGTTTAGTAATGAATCAAAATTTTGTGACAATTTCCATAATACAAATAATGAAATAAACCATCATATACACCCTTTTATTGACATAGTTCGAATACTTATATATTTGAGATATTAGGTTGCAACGATTAATGAAAGTGGCTAGCATCCAATGGTGAACTTATCAATCAATCGATAACGCTAGTCTATTAGTACAAAATATTACATACCCATGGTTAATTTTAATATGCCCAAATTAAAAGAGAACTAGACAACAAAAATTTAGCATGATGATACTTAATGAAAGTGGAAATAGAACTACCTAAAGGTATACCAATTTATTTTATTTATTTATTTGAACACATAAATATTGGTACAAGAGTGCACCAAATATACATGCGCCACACAAAAAATGAGAATTGAAAGAGAAGGAAAAAGAAAAGAGGTAGGGAGCGTTAAAAAAGAAAGAACAATAACGAAGAGATTGGTGTAAGGTAGTGTAATAATAATAGTAATAATGGGGTAACGGAAAGGTACAATCAGAAGAAATCTTTCAGGTAAGGGAGACACAACAACTTCTTATTTGTTTATCGAACAACATCAAGTGACATGCTACCAGAGAAGTCCTCAGAAGAGATTCTCATGGGAAGATTGAGAACGATCCATACCCTAATGTTTACGAGAACCACACCACCATCACAGACTAAGCTCAAGAAAATGACAACGCACGAGGTTGGATGTCCTGTATTTTCTCGAGAGTACAGACCAAACTATGTTTCTTGGAATAAAGCATATGTGGTCAGAAGGCTAGGTCAAGTAATTTACGAATTAAAAGTGGGAAGAGTCAGGTAAATTCGACACCGAAACCAGCTGTGTAAACGACTAGTACACAGCTCGTCCATCGACAGAAGGAAATCTCTCACTCGATATTCTGTTGGATAATTTCAATCTACCCGCAGTCCCTACGCAAGAAGAAGTACAACAAATTGACCTGCGTTCCAGAAGATGGTCACTTCGACAACGACGACAAACGTTCAAGACGCAGGTGGACCTGAAGAACGTACGCTATTAAAAGGGAAGGTTTTGTGGATGTTAGATCTCCAGAAATCACTTGATAAATGTCTTGTTTTTGTAATTTTATGATAGAAATTTGAACTTCTCATTTTCTAGTTAAAAGTGCCCATTTTTACCTTCAGATTGTATTTCCCAACTGAAAGGACTGGCCAAATTTCCATGTTTGAAGAGATTACGAGATCGCCGAAAAATCGGCGAACAGAATGAAGGATCAGTGACACAAAGATAAGACAGCTAAACTATTCCTATGTATCCCATCCCTGTCGTCAATTGTTATGACTACGTCGCCAACTGTTATGTCTGGTCGTGGTTTTTGGGATTAATAAATCTTCATTTGTACCAATCTTGTTGTTGATACTTCGCGTTGTGGTATAAGTAATGAGCGATTCCGACATGACGATCAGACATAACAGTTGGCGACAGAGTCATAACAACTGACGATAGTCATAACAAAATTACAATGGACACGCAAAAAATAACTATACCTCTTAGGGCAAACAAGAAGATGATCACCAGCATTAAACCGGATTCCACAAATACTCAGTTGATTTTTCAAATTAGGGGGAAATGGAACTAGAATATCCGTAGTTCGAGATAAACTAGGATAAAAAAAATTGAGAAAATAAATATGAGGTTCATAAATAAGTTTGTTGATGTGATTACTATGTAACAACTTACTTATAAAACAACTAAAAATATGTGTAAGGGTACTATATTCCCTTAAAAATTACGAAAAACATTTCAGACTAAATAGTTTCCATCAAATAAATTTAAATAACCTTACTTATAAGTAATTTTACGTGATAGTCTAAGAAATTGCTAATCAACTATAATCAGATGAAAACTCAAAACTAAGAATTTAAACAAATTATGTTTAAATTGGAAATATTAATTGAATGCATTGACTATCTAAAAGCAGATTTCTGATTTTCTATGTCTACATGAGCCCCACAACAACAGGTGACATCATGGGCTACAATCAAGCATTAGGAGAAAAGTCTTAAATTTTCACCTACTTTCATCTTTTTCTGATGGTAACATCCAGTTGGTTAGTGAGTAAATGTAACATATACCAGAAACTTTGGTTAACACGTAATCAAAATCTAATCAGTTTACGTAAATCATCGAACCCTGGTTTGATTACTGAATTTCCAAATGTTTATTTTACACTTCTCTTGCTAGTTACTTTATTTGACACATAAATAGTACAAAATTTGTTTACATAAATGAAATAAAGTAAAATTAATCGCCTTTAAAATACCTTATTTCCTATGTTTTACAGTGTGAGTTATTGAGAAACAG